ACCCCCCCCCCCCTGCCACAAAGCCCCAAAGGGATCTGCCAAGCCGGGGCTGCCATCGGCACCGAGCCCGGCTCCCCTGGCCAGCGCGCCCCGCTTCCTTCCAGCCGGGGCACAGGCAGCGCCCCGACCGTCTTGGGTCTGAATGAGACTGAAGCCTCATCAAATGGCGGGTCTGAGCTAGGGCACAGGGCTGCGGGCAAATGCTGGTGAACTGGAGTGAACTGAGGTGAGCAATTTGCCAGGAGGGCAAGGGAAAGGGCAGGCTGATCCCGAGAGGAGGAGATGGGGAGAGGGCAGCTCAGCGTGTGCGTCACCGGGGTCTCTGCCTGGGTACTTGCTGCCCCGCTGCGTGGGTGTTTAAGGCACTGTGAATTCGAGAATCAATTAGAGAGTACAGCAAAGCTATAGCAGCAATTCCAGTTCTTCTAGGAAAGCCTCAGAGCTTTCTAGCATGCTATCAGCTTGCCTTGAGGATGAATTAGTACCGAATCGGCATGCAAGGGTGAAATCAAAGCCTACCTTGTTTTAAATCATGAGAGGGGCAGTGTTAATACTCCACATCGCTTACCAGTCTGATGTCCCTGCCTGCTCCCCTCTCAGTATTTGCAAGGAAGAGGAGGTTAATCTACATCACGCTCTGGGAACAGCTACAGGAGGCTTCCTCCGAAGCACAAGATAGAGGCGTGCAAGATAAGGCCATGGGCGTCTGCAGTTTGCAGTTCCCATCTGCACCCAGTTTTCCTCCCTTCAGGAGGACAGTTCCCCAGGTCGGTCACCCAAGGATTCCCTGCAATGGGTGACAGGAAGGTGTGTGAGCCCAGGAGCCCAGCTCCGCAAGGCAGGACACCCGGGAATGACGCCGCGGTGATGGGGAGAAAGCTTGCTCAGCTGGGGAGATTGTGCCAAGGTGGGAGCGTGAACAGTTCCTGAAGGAGCTCAGCTCCACATGCTCGGCTTTTTGGGGGAACCTGAGGATGCCACATGTGCCGCAGGGAGGTCCGCCCATGGGAGAAACAGCAGGCTAAGGAAGGGATTCAAGAAACAGCAGGTTCCAGGAGAAAGAGTGGATGAGAATCATTAAGTCTTTGGCAGGA